CTCGGCCCGGCCAGCCTCCTGCCCCCCGGACCTGGGCACAGAGCCACAGCAGCCCCGGGGCTCCGCTGCCTGGGCTGAGCCCCTCAGGCTCTGCCAGCGCCACCTCGCCCCGCAGCATCTCACCCCTGCTCGCAGGTTATCGTGACACCAGGTCAAGCACAGGAGTAAGCACAGGAGCGAGCACAGGAGGGCCCAGGGAGGGTAGGAGCGGGTTTGAGCCGTGGTTGTAAGCACCACTGCACCCAGCTGGGACAACGGGACCAGCCAGCTTCTGCAGCCCACCGCAGTGACAGCAGCTCCTGCAGGAACACCACTGCCCTCTGAGACAGCAGGGCACCGCTTCCCACTCTGCTTTGCCTCCCACACTGACTTTTGTACATTCATGAGCAATTATAGCACATTCCCACCTGTAAGAGCATCAGTTAGTAGGTGGTAAATGGAACCCTCCCCTTTAGTGTCCATAACATCCTGTGGCAAGGAGCTCCACAGCTGTCCTACCCCTGTGGACACTCTGCCTGTACCTTGTGTCACTGCCAGCTTGCTGGATCAGGCTGAGATGAAACACAGGATTTCTCCAGAGCTCATCCACAGCTCCTCCAGCCTCTGCTCCACCCCCCAAGGCCCCAGCAGCAGGAGGTACGTGCAGAGTTAAGATCATTCCTTTCCCCCAAAACATCACTTTAGTTATTGCTGCCCAAGCTTGGCTTTCTCCAGGCTAGAACTATATCTACTGAAACCAAGTGCAGAGTGATGCTTCAAATGGAGATGAGCAGAAGGTCTGAGTCTTTCAAAAAGATGCAGAGGAAAGCAGCCCCAACAGGACACGTTGCTATTGCAGAGGAGTTGTTTGAAATAGACATGGACAGCAAAAGCCCAGCCGAGTGAGAGAAAAGCATGCTAGGACAGTGCCATAAAATAGAATATAGAGCACAAAGATTGGTAAGAGGGCTCTTGAAATAACTGGCCTCATTTCTCTATACTTTGTTTCCCATCTTCCTGTGGGCATGTGAGGAGCAAGCTCAGCCTTGCCAAGTGCAAGCAGAGGGTCAAGCCCAGCACACAGAAATTAAATTTAACCTTGATTATGCTGGACAAAGGTCCTTAACTCAAAGGTGGCTCAGGCCAGCATTGCTTGTCCAGCCAAAGCACCTAGCTGGTGAGCTGGGAAAGGCAATCTGCTTTTCCCACCAACCCCTGCCAGAAGGGTAGCAGGAACTGTAACACAACTGTCCTCCTCTCCCCCCTTCCACAGAGGTTTTCATATGCCCAGGGCAGGGCTGAAGGACTATGCTCATAGCAGAGCAATCAGATCCAGCACTGTTCCTGCCACCACAAGCAACTTCAAGAAAAGCAGAGGGGCATCTGCCCTACTACAGGTCAGCCAAGCAAGTAGAGCTTCCTCAACCCACCCTTGGAAGCCCATCTGGAAGGCAGACTCCATAGTAAGGAGGCAGCATATTCTTCAGTCTAGCAGCCCTGGGCTTGCTAAAATAGCGAGTGGACAGGGGAAAGACAGCATGTTAGTAGTGAAAAAAAGACAGTCAGAAACAGGAGTAAACAAGAGAGTTTGTTCTTGTTAAGTTTATTGGCATCATGTTTGTCTCTTTACATAAGAGCTCAGCCTACGTACTAGAATGTAGACCTCTGGAAAACAGGTAGAAGGGCTCCATTTAAGCAAGCTACAAACGCAAGAACAAATACCAGGAAGAAAGGAAGAGAGGAAAGGGACTAGATTGCCAGGTTTTTTCCATACCAAAAATCCAGATTAGCAGTCAGTAAGAAGAAAGGGAAGATTCATAGTCCAGGTCATTCTTCAGGAAACAGCTACCACAACCCAGGTGGGAGAGGAGCTCCTTCCACAGCACAAAGAGCCACTGGGACACCTCAGCTCTGGCTCCTTCTCACACTCGCTCCAGGATGTTAGGAGTTAAGCAGCAGGGGAGGTGAACAAATGAGGTCATTTTATAGCTGTATTTAATTTTAAATCAAATAATCCAGTGTGCATATCAATGCTGTTATGCAAATCTGAGAATTTAGATACAAGGAAGCCAGACAGATTTTTCCAGAAGATGAAGCCTTTTTGGCCTCAGAACAAGAAGGCTTACACAGTTCATCTCTACTGTACAGAATACTGCCTCTATCTGGACTCTGTGCTGCTAGCACGCTGCAGTTCACAAGTGCCCTCCTCACTTTCTACACAATCTGTGTTTCAGTACTTGAACATGTAACTCAGGAATTTTACACTAATTTATACATTTTTAATTGGTTGCATATATTAACATGTACTATAAGATTTTTCCTAAAGAAGCATTACATAATACATGGATACTGTAAAAAGATCTGATTAGTTAAAAGTAACAAGCATTAACAGAGATACATACAAAACTCAACCTAGTTGGACTGAGTGCTGAGCTTGCAATGAACTATGGGTAATCAGCCTTTCCAGTTGCAGCCTTCACAGGGGAAAACACCAGACAGTTAAAAATGTAACTTGTTACACAGATTACCTGTAAACAGTTTCTCTCCATTGGACACCTGGAATTAGATTCAGTTCCAAACATACATAAGAGTTTCCATTTTAAACTAGGAGAAAGGTCTGTTACCATGAAGTGTGATGTGGTTGGTGTGGGGATGTGAGCTCTGAAGTGCAGGACTCTCAGATGCTCATGAGAGATGGGTGGATTTTGGCAGCTGGAGATGGAAATTTTTTAATTTCATTTTAAACACAGAAGAGGGGCTGTGTATTTGAAGGCCTAAGTGTGATATTCATTTGTGAAGGACTGTGCTCAACCCCTCCCTCTCCCCTCAGCAGCTGCAGCTCTCTGCAGAAGCCTTCACTCGGTCATTCTTGTCTAGTTTGATGGGTTCAGGGAATTCATTGTAAAGCTCCACTTCGGTTTCCTAGTGGGAAAGAAGGGAGGAGTTAGTGCCACGGCTCCACAGACAGCTCCCAGCATGCAAGGAGCCATTCTCAGCTGGGGAAAGCTGCTGGAGAGCCCAAGGCTGCCCTCAGCAGCTGAGCTCGGCAGCAGGACCGGCACAGGGCACCCACCAGCGCCCCCCTACCTGTTTAAGTGCATTTCGTGCAATCGTCTGGAAAGCCTGTTCCACATTAATGGCCTCCTTGGCACTGGTTTCAAAGTAGGGGATGTTGTTTTTACTGTAGCACCAGGCTTGTGCCCGTTTTGTGGTGACCTGGGTGGACAGAGAGCAGCATCACACCTTCAGCTACACAGGGAGCTGATTTTATTCCCAGGCCACAGGCCCATCACATCCAACCTGAGCTAAGACAGCAGTTCTGAACTAATCAAAACTACGGCCTTTATATAGAGCACAGGACACTGCTGCCCATCACCAGACACACTCAAGCCCCAGGGGCAAGGAGCCCCTTGTCTGAGGACAAGGAGGCCCCAGGGCATGGACTGCTCAGGCATCTGCAGAGCAAGGACTCCCTCCAGTAATTTTCTCAGTAATTCTGGGGGAGGAGAATCAGCTCCTCTCCTCCCATCTCCCTAGGAAGCTGCTGCAATCCTTCCACCAGTGGGCAGGAGCATGCTGTGCACAGGGGTTTGACCTCTCCAGGCAGGAGAAACTCTTCCCCAGGGCACCTAACAGCTGAGCCACACTCAGGCACCTCCCACTCCTGTTTCTCAGATAACTCTCCCCTGTTGCTGCAACGTCTCCCACTCCAGCAATTTCCTAAGAGGAGGCCAGCAAGTCCCAGTACTCACTTGTCTGTTTTCTAGGTCAATCTTGTTTCCCAGCACAACAAAAGGAAAGTTCTCAGGATCCCTTGGACTGGCCTGAATGAGGAACTCGTCCCTCCAGCTGTCTAGGGTTTTGAATGTGTTTGGGGCCGTGACATCAAACACCAGCACACAGCAGTCTGCTCCCCTGTAGAAGGCAACTCCCAGAGACTGAAATCGTTCTTGTCCTGCTGTATCCCAGATCTGGAGCAAAAGACAGGACAAGATAAGCCAGCTCTGCTCTGACATAGTCCATGATTAGGGCATTCGTTTCAGAACTCCCCACCAGGCATCTACAGCCCCCAGCAAGCCCAAAAGGAGCACATGAAGGCTTGGGAATTTCTCTAGGCACTAAGTATCAAGAGGCAGAAATACCCTTCTAAAGACAATTAAGGCTTTTTATGTTCAGCCTCAGCAAGGGACATACCCAAGTTCTGCTTGCCCAGAGCAAGGATATTAGGGTCAGCAGGTGACCTGCCTGCAGTGCTTGGGTGCATGTGGGTACCAGCTTAGTCCAAATACACTTCTGGTGGCTGCAGATGAGTTTTGCTGCCCTGCAGTCTCACCACAGAGAAATGAAAATTTCAGATACTACAGACTGGCAGGTTAACACCAGATCCACAGGACTCAGGGCAGCACAAGTAGATGACCTGACCAAGGAGTCCTTTCCAGCTTCCCCAGCTCTAGGGAAGTGCATCTTTTTAACAAGATCTAATTTACTGACAGCTTTATTTACTGGGTTTTAAACCAGGCATGGCAAAGCTTCTCTTAGCTGAGCCTGAACTCATCTTTTCCTTCCCTTGTTCACCCCACACAGATTTGTAAAGAAGCCCAGCAGCACTCACAGCCAAGAGCAGCTCAGTGCAAACAAGACGCACACCCAGTCCGCTGACCCCTGTCCCACTCTGCTCTACACTGGAACAGGCAGTTCCACACAAGTGTGGTCCAGGCAGCCAGGCTCCCCTCGCAGCAGGGAGCAGAGTCCCTCCTTACCTGCATTGTCACTAGCCTGTCATCCACCATGACCTCTTTTGTCAGGAAGTCTGCGCCTATCGTAGCCTTGTACTGGTTACTGAATTTCTTGTTCACATACTGGTTCATGAGTGACGTCTTTCCCACCCTGCACAGAAAGACAAAAAAGACTAGGTATGCTCTTTTGTTTGAGTCTACTGCCCTGAAGAGCACACCTCACAGCCCCCAGCCTTTCAGCCAGGGGAAACACACACACCTCTGTAAGAAGGGGCTTCTACAGCAATAGATACTGAGCCAACATGCTGAGTAAGAGCATTAGCTACCTAAGGATAGGAAGGATTACAATCCTGAGAAACTTTTGCTTCCCCATGAGCAATCTGATCCCTGGTAAGAAGTATGCATCACATTAATCTCTTCCAAAATTGCCCTTATGATCATAAGTGCCCCCGAGAGACCCACCAGAAAAAGTCATCTTCAGCCTCTGCAGAAGGATGTGGAGGAGGAACGGGCAATCTAAGCTGGCAACAGCTCACGTACACATCTGCTAGGCACCCAGGGGTGGAGATCTTCCCCAGACAGCCAGCTTAGAGGCTCACATGCCCTCCCTGTGGCTGAGAAACACTCCCTGATCAACAGCTTGCTGGGCAGAGCGGTATAAATAAGCCTTGTGTCACAGGTGTCAGGTTACAGCCTGCAGAGCCAGCAACCTCCACGGGCCCAGGGCAAAGCCCTTCGCTGTGAGCACGGGGCTACAGCCAGATCAGAGCTGATGTCAGCTAAGCAGATGGCTCAGAATAAACTGTCTCTGAGAGGCAGAGTTTTAAGAAGTCACCCAAGATGGCTTACTAGCAGTCTGGGGGGTTGTTGGTTTGTTTTCTGTTTAAGTGAGATGCTAGTTTCACCACCACACACCCTCCTTGCCAAAAGGCTTTCCAGCTCTGCTACTGGAGTGCTCTGCCCGCCACATTTTCCCCATTTAATGCTGTGGCAGGACTTCAAGATAGTAAACTGCAGGGACACATTCAGGGTGGAGAGTGGTGAGAAGTTCTACAAGCTGTAAGTTAACCCAGCTACCTGTAGCTGTAAAGCCTCTCCTACCAGCACTGCTGGTTTCTTACAGTGCATCCAGGCTCCCACACTAGTCAAGAGCAGGTAGCTCCGGGCAGTTGCAGATTGACAGCTTCAAGGCTCTTCCACTTACCCAGAGTCTCCAAGGATGATGACTTTCAGTAACACTTTCTTCCTAGAAGTCATCTTTTACACTAGAAAGGAAGAGGAACAATCCATCAGACACCATTAGGATGCCATTCCTTGGGCAGAAAGCACCAGGTCTGGAGTCTGGGAAACCTGACCGCCAGCAAGGGGCAGGGCCCAGCACTCCTGAAGCCACACTCCCTCAGTTCATGACTACACTTGAGCACCAACCAGGTGTTTGCCCATTTCACAGGCAGGACCATGTCAGACCAGTAGCAGCCACTTAACACCAACAGGCAGATAAGCCAAGCACTTGCCCTTTACAGACCCAAGTCCATTTTGGACCCTATTTCCAGTCCATTTTGTGGGTGCAGCCTAGGCCATCTCCCTTGGCCTCACTGGAGGCTGTGCAGCAAAGCCAATCAGCTCCCAACAGAGGCTAATTCTGACACATGCTGCTCAGTGAGCTGTAAGCAGAGCTGAGCCTAAGGCCACACTCAAGCTCTAGTACGCTGTCCAGCAGCAAGAAACAGAAGGAAGAGGGCTTCCTCTGCCTTTAAAGCTCAGCTTGAAAAGTGATAGCTTCCTCTAGCAGCTGTACTTTGTGAAAATACTGAGTCCCAAGGATACACTGTGGTTGCAGTGGTTACAACACACCCACACAGGCCAGCTGGACTACAAGGCAAACTGCTCCCAGACTTTGCTGTGGGCAGACGAAGCTGACTACTGCCACCTCCCCACGGCTGGAAGGACAAGGAAGGCTACAGTGACAAGCCCCACAACATCCAGCCTATTGCTCTATTAGATGAGCTGTTTCTTCACTTGCACCCTGCTATGGCTCTAGTCCACTTTCTAGGCAGGTGGCTCTAGATGGGCCACTAATGGTCCAACCAATTAGCAAGAGTCAGAGTTGAGCTCAAGATCCACACTTACTTGCTTGCTCCCAGGTCTCCTTTAGAATAATGAGGAAGCTAGAAGTAAATCAGCTGCAGGAGGCCTGAATACACTTCTGGGTGTGCTTTACTGCAGTGAGCAACTATGAAGTCTTGCAGTTAGTGGTTGAGCGTGCCCTTCCTGCTGCTGTGAGGTCCTTCTCCCCACCTCTGGAGATGGGATGGGACAAACCACTCTCAGGTGCTCAGGCTTGATCAGATCACAGACCCTGGTTTGGTACTGACCTGATCCAGGAACACAAGGGCTCCCTGTCTCTCCCTGAAGAGCCCTGCAGGTTCTGCACAGCAAGAGGATGGTTCTATCTGTGCTACTTGTGTTCGAAGACCCTTGATGACAGTCTTCATGTATTAATCCCCTGAATGGAACTGTTACCTTAGAATTCCCATCCTGCTACACCACACTCATTGCACCACCCAACTCCTGCTCTTCAGGAGCTCTTCCTGATTTTGACAGCTAAGAAGGCCTTCACTTCAACATGGATATGTGCATCTTCTGAGCAGCTCAGTCCTAGGCATCTCCTGATACACATAACAGCCTAAACTGCCAAGTAACTGCAACCTGCTTCATCCCACTACTACAGAAGACAATGTGATCCAAGCTGTAGGAGCCTTTTACTAGGTGCAGAGCTCAGTTGCAGGAGGTCTTAATTATCTGAAGCTTTGAGTGTCCAAAGACAAGGAATGTTCTGGGCTCTGCCACCAGTGGCTGCTGCAGAAGCCCTCCTGCAGCCACCACAGTAGTGGTGCACTCAGCTGCACCTTGGTCTGCACCCACCTCACACATCTAGTGATATATCTTGGTGGGAAACACTGTTGAGAAGGTAACAGCCAGAGGCTGTTTAGTAAACAGCAGTGACAGGCCACCCACAAAGCTGATACTGTCCTGAGATGTCCTTAGATGCCAGAGAGCCTGCACAGGACAGCTTCTCCAAGCATAAACACCTCTTCCTTCCAAGGCTGTCTATGCTGGCCTGCATTGCTCAATGACCCAACTGACAGCCCAGCTCTACCAGCCAAGATACAGTCAGCTGAAAGCTGTCAACAACCCCAGCACTTAGTCCAGCTTCTGCCCTTGCCAAGATCCACACTCCGTATCTCGTGTCTATGGCCATGGGGAGAGCAGAGCACAAGCTCCTCCAGGCAGACTACACCTCCAGGGTTTTCAAAGCACCCAGCACAAGTGACACTGGTGCTAGCCAAGCCAGAGACCTGAGCAGCACAGTCAGCCCAGATGGAGCAAGAGGCAAGTGAGAAGGGCTTTGAAGCAGCTTAAGGACAGCTGTGTATGCTGAACTGTCATGGAAAAACATCTGTGAAGGCTCAGGTCCAGTGCAAGTCACCTGTTTTCCTCAAGACAGAGGAAAACAACCCTCCCTGAAGTGACTGCCAGAATCCAGCACGTACTGCTCCCGTTTCCCTTGGAGTGTTTTCAGTATCACTTGCTGCTCACTGCCTCCTGGTATTTGAAGCAGCTGTGGACACACTGGTGTTAGTTCTCATGCTCAGGGAGGGATTTGTAGAGCCCTAAATTACAACGCTAAGTCACACAGGGTGCTTAGCACCCAAGTCCAACACAGCCTGAAGTCTCACTGTGGAGGGAGGGGAAATGCTCTGTGCAGTCCCATTACCTTGGGAGTAGCTCAGCTGAGCAGCTGCCTGCAGACATGGGAAGGAAGTCGGAGTCAGAGCTGACACTGCCTTCTTGCCATAGCTGACAGGCTACCCCAGCACTGTGAAGGGCTACTACTGCCTCACGGCCACCAGCCAGGTGAGACACTCAGCTCCCACCCCAGGTGATGCAACGGATATGAGCCATAGCACAGGAGGAGCTGCCTCAGCTTGGTATTTGGTTTGGCCCATGAGACATGAGGAACTCCAACCACTGCCAGGGGCCAGCAGTGGACACTGCCCAGAGTTTCCCATCCCTGTCCTACTAGGTTTGATCAATGCTGCTTTGAAGCCCAGTCAAGCCAAGCCACCTTATTAATCTTCTCATTACAGGTATAAACAGAGCAATGTTTCAGAGTTACTCCTTGTCCAGTACAAGAAGAGACCTATCTTTGGATAAGAGACCATATCTCCAGGTCTTGGAGAAAGTACCAGTGTTTGATCCCCTGGAGCTTTCCAGTAGAAGGAAATCTCTCTAAGTAGCATCAAAGTGCTGCCTACAGCCCCATCCTTGCTGCTTCCCTTATCCTTACCATGCTCTGTGTGGCTGAGTACATCTCCAACAGCAGCTCCAGACTTAAAGCCACTATCTGTGCTAAACAGACACTGGTGCAAGTGAGATCTTCAATCTAGATGGATTGAAGACATCTCTTATCCTAACAGGGTTTTCTTATGAAGCAACCCAAAGGGTCAAAATACTCCCAGGACAGGGTACCATGCCTCCTGTTTGCTTCCAGACAGTGTTTTCAACAAGTTCAAGCACCACAAGGCACTAGTGCTCTCTGAACATCCTGCAAGCCAAGTCTTACTACGGTCTCCTTAACATCATGCAAAAGATTTTGGTGACTTCAGCTCACACTAAAACAGCAGCAAATACAACATCTTCATGGCAGAGGATGCTTTCATATGCTGCAGTTCAAGTAAGCTCAGCAACAGCTCAGTTGGTCCTGGTTACAGCATGCCATTTGCTGTTGTCAGTATAAAAAAAAAATGCAACCAAGCAACCCTGGGCCAGGTTCAGGACCCAAAGACTGGCTTGCCTCAAGTCAGAGGCAGTTTATGATGATTATTACAGCTTTGTCAACACAGGCTGTTTCTCACACTGCATGGCACTGAGCAGGTTCACTCCTGCCTTATGTCCCAGCAATGGAGCCCATATACATGCTCTAAGCAACACAGATCTCATCTCTGGTGAGCCTTGCTCGTACAAAAATCAGCAAAGGGAGACAAAGCAGCAGCTAGCTCTAGCTCACAATGCAGGTTTGAGTACCTGAAGGAGCAGTTAGTTCACCCAAGGAGCTTCCCCAGTCGCACCTGCAAGCAGCAGCAGACTGCCGAGCTGAGCTGTAGGCTGCACAGGGTCTCCCCCACGCTCCTGCAAAGAGCAAGCTCAGCCTGAGCCGAGATCAAAACCGATAGTGCAGAGTCGCTGGTATCCAAGTCTATCTTGCATGACATATGCAGCTTGTCCTGCCTTTGGATATTGGGTACAGCTACCCTCGGAGCAGCATCCTGCCAGAGTCTCAGAAGCCCTTAAGATGGCAGTGTGAGAGCTCACATGGTGCTCGCAGCCAGCCCCAGGAGCATTTCTGAACAAACACTTCCTTTTTCAGAGATCATGAAGAAAAACCTGCTTGTTGAGATTTGATCCAAGACATCAGCTCCATTTCACACTGTGTGAAGTCTCTTGGAGGGAAGTCACCTGCATGACTGCTCAGAACATAGCTTACCAGCACACCCAGCTAGCTCTGCTCAAGAGCCATCAGAAACTCCCCATCAATCAGGAGCCCAGTCAGCATCATTCCTCTTCCTGCTTTAACTGGTGCCAAAGGAATGACAGAGATACCTCTAATACAGGAGAGGGGTCCTTCCACTCAATTTTTAATGCTTGTCCCTCAAACAAGCCATTAAGAGTACAATGGCCCCTCATGAGGTGAAGGCTGGTATAGCCTGCTCTCTCCCACAGAATACCTTTGTAGGCCTGGCATGCTAGAGCAGCAAGGGAGAACCCTTAACATCTGACCTGCCAGTGTTACTGCTTACCTGACTGGAAAGGAAGAGTCAAGAACTGTCCTGTGAAGCTTCGGTTCTACAGCTCCTCAGACAGAAGAGCAAATAGAGCCTATGCCCAACCTAATTAGGCTTTCGTTGTTGCTTCAGAGTTCATTACTACCATCCTTTCACTTACTATATTAGGACAGCCACTTTAACTCCCAGCAGAAATGGATGGTTAAGGATTCCTTAGAGGTGTTCACACGTGTCGAGTCACAATGCAAGCATTTTAATATTAATTGGGTTGGTACAAGCACAGAACAGTATGAGCTCCCGTCAGTGGCCCACCAGATCTCTTAGATTAGCTATCCTTCAACTGAAGTAGGCTTGCAGCAGGAACACCCTGTTAAGTTGCTCATGGACAGGTTTAGTATGAAAGTAGCTAGCCTTGGGTGGGAATCTC